GCCGACGCCGCGACGTCTCAATATTATTATGATTATTATGGCGTTTTCGATTTACTACTCGACCCGACTCGGGTCGCATCAATGGACGTGGAATACATACATAGATATGTATGTATTCCACGTCAATGATTCTAGAGTCCTGTATACATGATGCGACCCGAGTCGGTTTGAGTCGCAAATCGAAAACGCTATTAGAGAAATGTCACTTTCACTTTTTCGACGCTGGCGGCGCAGGTATCGCCAGTTTCGATATCGCGCGCGTATTTCGATAGATTTATCGGTCATGTGGAAGATTTATATTTAGGTAAATTAGGTATATATATATATATATATATAATATATATTGAGTCAATTTTGCTTCATGTTTATCTGGAGAGATTTCGTATCCTTATTACATCGTATTACCACCGCTGCCGGAAAAGAAGATTCTCTACGCTTGGCAGAAAGTGCCGCTAGGGAATTTTTAAGTCGATTCTTATGAATCAAGCTTGAATTCGATGTCTACGTGTCCCAGGTTGCCGATGACGAGGTCCACATAGTGCGCTTTATATTTTTCGGTGTCCAGGTGTAATAATACCTCGAATTTGATGTCTACGTGTCCCAGGTTGCCGATGATGAGGTTCACATAATGCGCTTCGTAGTTTTTGGTGTCTAGGTGTATTAATAACTTTAAATCTGAATGTAGGACACGTAGATATCGAATTCAAAGTATTAATACACGTAGACACCGAAAACTACGGAGCGCACTATGTGGACTTCGTCATTGGCAACGTGGGACACGTGGACATCAAATTCAAGGTATTAATACACCTGGACACCGAAAACTATGAAGCATACTATGTGGACCTCGTTATCGGCAACCTGGGACACCTAGACATCGAATTCAAGCTTGATTCATAAGAATCGATTTAAAAATTCCCTAGCGGCAGAATTAAAATTATGTCATGACATAATAAAAATTCGCTGAATTAAAATTATGTCTAGACATAATAAAAATTAGACGAATAATAGTAACCTTTCGAAAGTAGAGGTTTTAAGCTTGAAATTTAAATTTTATTCATTTTTAACAAAGTTACAGCTGCTCGAATTTTGCCTATTTTTAAAGATAAATTTAGTGTTTCTTCAATTTTTGTGAGAAATGTATAATTTACTTTTACTTAAATATTATTAATTTTTATGTATTTGTTGTTATTGCTAATTTTGTGAATAATTAAAAAATAAAAAATAAAAATGTTTTGCAGATCCTTGCTTAACACTACAAAATAGGTGATATCAGTACAAAATTATTTTTTTCAAAAAAGGTAAAAAAGTGCCAAGTACACGTAATGTATTTTGTAAATTCAAAAATCTAACCTAAGTGGTAGCTTTATATCTTTTTCACAAAATTATATTACCTAACTTAACTCAAGTGACATGTATTTCAAAGAAAGATGTGAAATCTTTAAATTAAATTGCGCCAATTGTAAAGAGAACATGTATATTGCTTTGAAAGATAATTGTTATGCAACTACTTTAAAGAAATAAAACCCAAGTGGTGTCTTCGTATTCCTATTCAAGGGTCTTTCTATTTTAAACCCAAGTGATAATAGCTTCTTAATTCTCTTTAACAAATTTTTAATATTACAAATAATCATTTTAATTACAAAAAATTAAAGAAGTAACAGTACAAAGTAAAAATATTTAATTAAAACAAAATAAATAAATTTTTCTTGTAAAAAAACTTGGCGCTGCTTTTTTACTCCTGTCACATTCCTCCCTAAATTATGTTTATTGTTTTTTATACAATCAAAAATCTTAGTACTAATGTTTAAATTTCAAAGTCTAGCAGCGCCAAGTTTTTTTACAAGAAAAATTTATTTATTTTGTTTTAATTAAATATTTTTATTTTGTACTGTTACTTCTTTAATTCTTTGTAATTAAAATGATTATTTGTAATATTAAAAATTTGTTAAAAAGAATTAAGAAGCTATTATCACTTGGGTTTAGAATAGAAAGACCCTTGAATAGGAATACGAAGATACCACTTGGGTTTTATTTCTTTAAAGTAGTTGCATAACAATTATCTTTCAAAGCAATATACATATTCTCTTTACAATTAGCGCAATTTAATTTAAAGATAAAACAAACGCGCATTTTCGTGCGTCTGTTCTTCCAAGAAATATTGAAAATATTATAAGATAAATAGATAATATAATATCACCAAACTTCAATTGACTATAACTGGCATATTTATTCACAAAAAATCACAACGTTTTAGTCCAATTTCGACTTCTCTTTATTTTCTACACTATATTTTACTAACACTGACATTATTATATTTTACTGACAACGCACAAATCATGAAAGTCACTGAAATTTTCCACTTTTATAGTTCCTTTGTTATTTATAATATTTAAGCGATTGTGATACAAAAATGGTTTTTTTTTTCCTAGTCTTCAGTTTCTGACTTGCGGGTAGAGTGTCACGAATTGCTTGTCGAATGCTTGTATAAGAGTTCACCTGAAGAGGGTCCGAATTTGGACCGAAACGTTGTGATTTTTTGTGAATAAATATGCCAGTTATAATTAATTGAAGTTTGGTGATATTATTTTATATTCACTGGCGGAAAAAACTTTTCCATTATTGATAAATAGATAAGCCGGCTACCCCTTGTATTTCAAATTAATTCAACAGGCTGTTATCGCGCATTTTCCATCTTGATGCTCTCGTCAACGGTCCGCAATAGAAATATTTCAACAAACACGCGATAGGAACGATAGGAACATTGCGTTGTAATAGGGAATGCATAAATTATTTGCCAACAGATAATTGAGGATAATAGCGTAAATTAATGGCGGGAAATGCAGTTAGGACTGATATGCTCGGCTTTCCAACCGAAGAGTTATAACAGACTTTGTTGCGATAGCAAATACAGAAATTATTTAGCAGTAAACGACCGATAGTATAAATTGGCTATCAAACTTGAGCCGTTGCGGATTCACGAAACTTGGCAGCCAGAAAGCAGAATTCAATAGGGGTATTCAAATAAGTTAGAGTTTAACGGTTTGACAGGTTATGTCGGGTTAAAAAGTTAATTTTTAACCCAAAGGGTTAAACTTTTAACCCAAAGATTAATGTGATAGGTTAATAAGTCACGTATGTGTATAACCTATGTATTTTGCATAACCTTAAAGAGTAGCGCGCCCATTGCAGGTTTGTGTATAAGTGTGAAGGAGAAGTTCAATGTTTACATGTTCAGCTTCACGAAATAATTACCAATGTATAAAAATAAGTTTGTACAATGCCGAAAATAAGTAAAAGAAAGAATTTGTTCGAAACTATCCTTTTAAAAGGATGTTTTGATCTTGTGAGTGGAAATTCAAATAAAGATTTTGATGAAGCTATTCTTCAGTGCACGGAGATATTTTTAATTACACTAAAATATTGCTACAGTGAACCTAGAAACGTCAGAGTTCCTAGGAGTAATGACTGGTATGTCAATATCCTACCCTCATATGATGATGATAGATTCAAGTCCTGCATGAGGGTGACACGACAGAAATTTGGACAAATTCTAAATATCGTGAGTGATACCACTACCTTCCAGTCCTTGTCTACTTCCAAGTCTCTTTCAATAGAATATCAACTTGCAATAGCTTTGTATCGCTTTGGAAATGATGGCTCAGGTACGTCATTTCTTAGGATTTCTGAACACTTTGGAATAAGCGGGGCAGGAATGATACATTTGTGCACTGAACGTGTGATTACGGTAAGTCAAGGATAATTATTTCTTTACATTATTATTAAACTTATAAATTTAAATTAATATTATATTTTTATATTTATACAGGTGCTGCTCTCTGTAGAGAAAAAATACATAACTTGGCCGAGCGAATTGGAACGCAAGCACATTTGCGCAACGATGATGAACTCGCTTCCAGGATGTATTGGTTACATGGATGGTACACATATACCGTTGTTCGAGGCACCTCTGCAAGACCATGAAGCGTATTTTAGTAGAAAACAGCAGTACGCACTACACATACATGCAATCTGTGATAATCATTTGCTATTTAGGAGCGTCTCAGTAGGTTATCCGACTAGTGCACATGATGCTAGAGTTTTCGCCAACTCGCCCATTGGTCTACATCCAGAGAATTACTTATCAGACGGTCAATGGATAGCAGGAGATTCAGCCTACCGCTGTAATCGATACGTAGTGACTCCGTTTAGAGAAAATTCAAATGTTGGAACACGAAGAAATAGGCGTCGTTTCAACCGTCATTTTTCAAGTATTTTATTAATTACGTCATTACACAAGTATGTTTATGATTTAGAACATTATCCTATTGCTCACAAAACATTTTATTCAGGTAAACGAGTGAAAATCGAACATGCATTTGGAATTTTAAAAATGTTATTTAGAAGTCTTCGATCCTTGCGTGTTCGAATAAATAAGAACAAAGGACATCGACGAGCATGTCAGTGGATTATAACTTGTATAGTATTGTATAACATTATTAAGCCAAAACCACAAGACTACAACTTCGATGTAGAACAAGTTTTTCATCACTTCGAACAGGAGCTGCAATACGATGAGACTAGAGGTGAAAATAACTGCTAAAGAGAGATTTTATTCCAGTGGTTTTTGCGAAGAAATATTTAGTTTTCTTAGTTACCATTTTATTCCCTTGTTTCAAGATTATACAGAAAATAAAAATGGAACAAAAATAATATGAATAATATTATGTATTTATATTATATAAAATATATATTTATATTATTATAAAACAGAATATAATGTTGTATAATTATCATAATTATCTCTCGAACGATCGCATCAAAAGTTGAAATAGGAACAGTTGCATAAGATGTAGGTGACACCCTAAAGTATTTCCCTCGTAAATGTTAACAAAAAAAATTTTCTTTACTTTTCTCTTCAATTTTATAAAATTTTTTAAACTTATTTTTTTTTAATGTAATTTCTGTAGTATATAAAAATTTTAATTTTAATGAAAAAAAAAGACCTTCAGCAATCGTAAAATTTTTCCATGTCGTGATCATAAAAATAAAATAGCTAGGGTGTAGCCTACACCCCACGCGATCTTTCGAGGGTTATACAGAGACTTCCCTGGTAATTATTTAATACCCATTTTTAATTTTTCCAACTCAAGGTCATGCTGTAATTTTAATTTCTGGAGCTCTGCATCTTTTTCAATTTTTAACTTCTCAAGTTCAAATTGCCGGTCTTCACTTTTTTTTTGTCTTTCTATGTTTGCCGTCCACTTCTCACGTTCGAACTTTAATTGCTGCTGCTTAAATTCTTGTTCTATTTGGAATCGTGTCTGTTGTTCAGCATGCATCTGCACCTCCTTTGCCTTTTCCCAATTCAGACGTTTCTCTTCAACAACAATTCTTGCTTTCAGAGAATTTTCTAGCGCCGCTGCAGCAGACTTAATAGGGCTTTTTCGTAATCTTTTCTTTAAAGGTTCATCCTCTGACGTCGATGTAGTGGGTGTTTCAACAACGTGTTCAATAATTTGAAAACTCGAAGCATCTATATCATCAGGTAGGTTGGGGAGTGTGTTCAGGAGTGTGTCAACAGTTGTATCATCATTTGTATCAGTTTCTATTTCCAAACTTGTTCCGTCACCATCCAACTCAATATCATCACTATGATGGATGTAAGGAGGATTGATGTGAGGCTTGTCACCGAGGATTTCGTCCAACTCGAAAAAGAATTTACAACGCTTGATTAGCTCCACTAAAAGTTAAAATATGTATCAGATAAGCATAATCATAAACGTCACTTATAGTTTATAAAACGAATGAATCATATAACGCTTAATAAATCATATAATCATATATACTTTTTACAGTATCACTTCCTGTCTCGACATTTTCTTGAAGAATGCCTTGTCCAGTTTTGTTTCGCCATTCCAAAGCTTTATTGTACGATGCCTTCATATTCTTCATATGTTGAACAAGCTTAGCATTGTTAATATTCTCAAAAAGTGGAAGTTGGTAATGCGTAAGAAATTTTTGTAGTACTCGGGTGCGGTTGGCTTCTGGAAAACCATTTTAAATGTTTAAATGTAAATGAAGGTTTTAAATATATACCCAGTAAACATCGAGCATCAGTTACATTGCATCTGTGTTACAATTTCTCACTCAACAATGTAAATGCAATATAACATATGTGTTATATTACATTTACATTGTTGAGTGAGAAATTATAGATGCAATGTAATTGATGCTCGGTGTTTATTGGGTATTTGAATATTCACTGATGTAATAGCCATTTTGCCCATTTACTTCGAATTGTCTTCCTATGGATATGCCATCCTTGGCGTAATCTAAAATCGCTTTCTCCATTTCTTCAGTCCACTTCTGGCGAGGATTAATCACTACACGTGACTTTTTGGTCCTTTAAATGAGATTAAAAAAGTTTTCAAATTTTTCTTCCGTACTTTTTTATAAATTAATTTAAAAATTATTTAACGTAATACAATAGGTAATAGAAATTGACATACATTCCATCAGGTTCCACACAGCTTTTTCTTGGCATTTTGTAGACTCGTACCCAGCAGGCCTATTCTGTAATTATTAACAATAATGTCGTTATTGATGCTGTCGTTGCGCTGATAGTAAAAAAAGCTGCGCAATGACATATCGATAATGACACTATTGTTACAGATACAGAATAGACTTAAGTGCGTCCAGACTTGTGTCGTATCACCGTATCATGTATCATGATCAGCTAAGAATAGGTATTTACATATATACGGCACCCCGTCCACACTTAGCTGATCATAATACGCGATCCAGGACATATACGATATGAACGCACCTTTACAGTGCTGCTAGAATGTAAGCTGCTAGATCGTGGAATAGGAGAGCTTTCACCACTGAATGCAGGATGCCACTAACTTAACCTAACCTATCCACACGCACAGCATGTCAGTTTAGCCGAAGACGAATGCTTAACCTATCGTATTAACCTTTAAGTTAAAAGTTTAAAAATTAACTTTTTAACCTGACATAACCTGTCAAACCGTTAAACTTTACCTTATTTGAATACCCCTAAATAATTCGGAGAATTGAGGTTTAGAGTACGCAGTTTAAGAATCAAGAATTATGAAAATTTCTCGTAATTAAACGTTCTAATTAAAAACTTCTTGATTTCGGAATTTCCAAAATATCTAAAAATCCAGAGATTTCAGTTAAGTCCATTTTGAATTGAGATCGATGCCTTTTTTTGCAAAAATGTAAATCTAGAATTTTTATTGCTAAAGATTTAAAATTAGAATAAAACTGTAGATATTATACATATAAATCACCCTAAATCTTCATTTCGCGTGTTCTAATCTTTGGCTTTACACGCAACATCGCGATAATGTAAGTCCTAAAATCTCGGTTAAGTCAACTTGGAGTTAAGATCAATGTTTTCCCGAAACGTGCAAGAGCGCTCAAGGGATCGTCCGCTGATCCCCCGGGGCGGTTTCCGCCGTGCCGCCGGCGCGGCGCGGCGCGGCGTCATGGATGAGTCGGGGCGTCGCGTCGTTCCGGAAGCGGGATCTGGTTTGGGGTTTCCTTTCCTTTCGGCAGAGTCGCGTCACTGTCGAAGTTAAGGTGGCACTCACGAGGCGTAACTCCGCTGATGCGGTTACGATGTATCGATCCTGGTAAGAGCGTGACGGCTAAATTAAACTCGGCTTACCCCCGACCTTTACATTGCCTGGGGGGTCTCGGCGGTGACGCATTGCGAGAGCAGGGGGTGAGACCGCCGCGTCAGGTGCGTCGGAAGGTAACGACGCCGTCGTCGATTCAATAGCGCACCAATTATCTTCTGCGTTTCCTGCGCTCGAAAATCCGCTGCACGAAACCAACGGTATATTCTTCGAACTTGTTACTCGCGGCTTCATTAACGGTTCACGAAAACAATTTGCGGAATCACGCGCGAATATCCATGTTTCAATTTACGTCCGACCGCGCCTGTGATTTAATTGCACATTCCCTTTATTTCAATATTTAGATAATAATGCAAGCGGTAAAAATCGTGATTTAAAAATTTAATATAAATAATGACCATTGTATTTACACTAAAATTACGAAGTGGGTCAAAATGAATTGTTTGAGATTTTTTAAAATAATATAGATAATTATTATTTATTTCTAAAACATCATAATTTCTGAAATTTTCTCTGACTTTTATTAAAATATGCAGATAATTAATTTTATAAATTTGTTTTTTTTTTAATTTTTTTTTGTTTTGACTTCTCTGTAGAAATAGGTAAGGGAGAGGGGGGAACTGTAGGACACTTTTTTTTAAAGAGCTCATATCATTTTCAATTTTTAAGAAAATTGGTTTTTTGACTCAATTATAAGTTAATTTAGTTGTTAATGCTCAATATAAACGTATGGCAAAACAAACATTTGAAAGCAATGCGTTGTTTTTACCTTTTAAAAAAATATTCTTTAATCTGTCCTATTCTGCTTCCCTAGAGGAGAAGTTTAGGATGCCGCCGGGGTAGTTTAGGACTAATAATAAAAAATCGAGATAATTCTCGTCTTCTTATTTTATTTATTAAAAGTAATAAATCTCTTGTTAAGCAACATTTTACAAACTTCTATTAATATATTTTTTCTTTAACAATACAGTAGGTAATTTGTAGTAGGCAATCAAATAAACATAAGTGTCCACCTATTGGAATCTTAATTAAAATAAGAATTAGTCTCACAAATTTCTCTTTTTTTCTTTTTTTTTATTATTCAATAGTTTTAGCGTTAAGGCCGGAGGTCGTAGCTCCGAAGAGAAATCTCGTTTTCGTGGCATGCTGGACGATGTCGGCCACATTCTTACGTAACTTAGACGGACGTCGGGACGCTGCGAGGCAAAATCGGGCCATTGCCGTGAAAGAATGTATACACGGGGTGAACGAACGATAGGGAATCGACCGCTCTTCCCCGCGTACCACGAGATGAATATCTCGCTGTATGGTCGCGTGGAGCACGTACATACGTACTTCCGGAGATTGGTAAAGCCTATTAAGACGCGTGCCACGACTCGACGATGCGTTACGTAACGCGGATAAGCGCTAGACTCCGTATAATTTTCTTCGGTATACTCTTTCCCAAATTTCCACACGTTAATGAGAGCACACAGAGGAATTCTCACACTGTCGATTGCGTTTGTCTTCTTCTCTGGTCAAGACGTTTTATCTTTTTATTTTTTGTAACTTTATCAAGTTTGTTTATGTTAACCCTAGAGAGTCTTTCTGGGGTGATATGTCACCCCACGCGAAATTCAAATTGCGCCCTGCCTTAGGAAGGTTAGTTTTCATACCGAGACCCTAACCATAATTTAGTTTAGTCATCCGGCAGTTGACCTCCGTCATTCAGCAAGTGCGTTAGATCCGTGCAGCAGCTGAAAACCGAAAAAGAAAATCGTTTGGGGTGACGCCTTTGGCCGTTTACGTTCGACTTTTACTAGATTAAAGTATATTTCAGATTTTTTGTGAAAATCGATAATGAAAAATTATACACTTTATAGCACTCCCCGGAAAATTCTACCCCTGTTTTATATATAATTCTTTAAGATTCGGTGAAATATTTCATTTTTGCTGTTCTTGCACAGCAACTGATTAAAACTTTGTACAATTTTTATGGAGTTAATTTTACTGTTTCCATATACTTTTATAACTTTTGACTACCTTTCAAATAAATAATAATCAACAAAATCTGTTTTACATTCCATTTCTTGCGATTTTTCCCATCCGACAGTTTTTCGTCATTTCCTCTACTTCAGACGTTCAAAAAAATATGTTTTTTTTAAGAAACAAAAAAATCGTTTACATGCCCTTGAAGGTTGTCTATTCGTCTTTCAAAATCCGTTGGAATTTTTAAAATTGGTGAATTTTATGAAAAACTACAGCATTTTTTATAAAAATAGTCATTTTAGCCCAATTTTTGGTTCTTTTTTTTGTTTTTCGAAATTTTTTACTGTTTTTTTTTTTACTACCGCAATTTGATGACTACTATCGTCTTCCCTATTAAAAAAGAAAACAAAATTATCTATTATAAAGTTGTCTAACAACAAATAGAAACATTATACACGCGGTACAAGTTTGGGGTGTTTTTATACCCCGCTTGGCCTTTCACGTATGAGAAAATTCATAAAGACTCTCTAGGGTTAATATTATTATTATTTTATCCATGTTATTTGCATACGTCGTTTGCGCCATTTACTTTATTTACGTCACTCATTTGCCGTTCATGTTGGCCGCGTCGTTCACTTATTTCGCTCTCCGATATTTATGACAATCGCTATTTATTATTTTATCGCGAAAATTCCCGGTCTCTAACGCGGCTTATGACTTCAAGTGCGCGCCATAAATCGCGACGGCTCGATCTGCTTTTTCGAGATTTACGGCAAAGTAAAAAATGTCGTCGCCGGCCGACGGGGACCGAAGGTCCGCGCCGTGATCGATAAGGCCGCGGTAAATTTAGTCGGCCGGTTCCGTTACAGTCCGCATAACTGGGCACAGCGAGCGAAATGGACGCGGCCCTCCTCTAACATCTCTTATTGGCAGACGGCCACTCCGAAGAGAGCAGGAAAGAGAGAAAAAAGAGTGAGAGAGAAAGAGAGGACGCAGGGAAGCCGGAGATGAAGTCCAAGCCGATGAATGTCGACTAACGGGATAGCGTTGCATGAATTTCGCGTATGTGTGGCCGTGCGCGAACATCCGCGTGCGATTCTTCTCTTACTCGATGACCACTCCTATTTACTCGACAAAAATCCATTTTCTGCGTGCACAAGATGTATCGTGATGAACAGCGGTTACGACCTTGAAATCGGACTCTTCGAGTGGATTCATTTACGAGAAATTTTTCTCGGACAACTGTTCGCGAGATGTCCTTTTCGTAAATCAAAGATGTATTCCGGTGGTCTTAGATCAAACATTTTCTAAAGCAGAGCCTAACCTGAGATTGACTTTATGAATACTAGATGCGATTTGTTATTGATAATTCGTCCGTGATTGCACGATTAACGACTTTGACTGCGGTTAATCAATATTGTTCGAGAATAATAACCAATTATCGCGCAATTTAATAACCATTTATTTCCACCGCCATTCAGAAAAACGTGAGGCCGGACAGGGACAAATAGAAAGAAAGAGAGGGATATGGGTTCGCCAGGACGACCCGGTGACCTCCTGAGCGTGGATTTACCGGTGTGGATGGTCTTGCTCGAGGATCCTCTCGAAGGAGCGAATCCTGCGGTCGTAATTTACCGTGGTCACCGTTAAACGGGGAAAGAGCCTAACTACCGCATGCCGCAACGAGAGAGAGAATGACGTTGCCGCAGTGAACGTATAAAAATGCAGCCCGTTTCTGGCCAGGAGAGTGAAAATGGCCGCAGCGCCTCTCAACCACAGCGACTCGTTCAGCGACATAATAGCGGACTCTCCCGTTCCTCGGTGTTATCACATACCGGCCACAGAGCCGTAAGCCAGGACACCGTAACTTCCGTGACGTTTCCAACACACGTTTCGTAAAACGTAATGATAACAGACTCCTCGCGTTTTGTATGAAAGTTGTCTCGAAAATTGCCTGGCTAGATCTTCGACTTTCTAGACACTTCTAAAAAAACAATTATTTGTGAGAAACAAACTCAACCAAGTAATCGTTGTTATTCTACTGTTTTTTTAGTGGCAGCCTATT